AGGACTGCAATGGCCGAAGCTGTGCTGATCCGAAGCCAGGAGCCTGGAGCTTCTTCCAGGTCTCCCATGTGGGTGCGGGGGCAAGGACTTGGGCCATCTTCTACTGCTTTCCCAGGTCATAGCAGAAAGCTGGATTGGAAGAGGAGCAACCAGGACTAGAACCGGCGCCCATATGGGATGCTGGAGCTGTAGGTGACAGCTTTACCCCCTTTGCTACAGTGCTAGCCCTTTTATTTCCTAAACTTAAAAAGTATTTCTAAAGGGCAAACTGTTTTCTTCAGTCAATAACATAAAAAATATTGCATCAACATGGTTAAAATGCCCAGAGCTTTCAGTTCTTTAGGGATGGAATAAATAACTGATATCACTGATTATAAAAGTTTACATTATTGATTTCCATGTTTCCATTTTCCACAAATTTTTTGATGTTCTTCCCCATATAATCTGTTTTAGTCCTGCACCCTTTGTAGTTAATGATTATTTCACTCTCCAAATGCCTGCAAGGACTGGGGCTGGACCAGGGCCAAAGCCAGGAGCCAGGAATACAATCCAAAGCTGCAGCGTTTTGGATGGCAAGCATAAATTACTTGAGTCATCGGTAATTTTTGTGTCTTCATTAGCAGGAAGCTGGAGTCAGGAGTCAGAGCTGGCAGCCAAACACAGGTACCACAATATGGGTTGTGGGTATTCTAACCACCAGGCTAAATGCCTGCTCCCAAGCAATTGATATATAATAGATTATTCCTTTTTTCAAATGTATTGAAAGTTTTTTTTTACTTTTATAATGTTAGGAATGCATGCATTTATTGTTACATTCTTTCATAAGCATATATTTAAAGGGAAAAGTATCCATTCATAACTAGTTTAAAAGCTTAAGAATATATCGGGTTCCTTAAATAATTATCTCTTATTTTCCAGGCATTTATTAAAAATAAGATGATTATGCTTATGATCTTAACATGATAGAAATAGGAACTGTTTTATATACTATTGTTGTCCTCATATTCAATAAATTAGTGGAACTTGTTATGAAAGTTACATGACACTGCTAACATAGGCCATTCTTTTCAAATATATTCAGTGGAAAACAGCCTAGAAAATTCTGTATGCTCCCTCATCAAAATGTGTATACATGCATGTACATACACACACTTTTTTTTTAAGAGAAGAGGGGGAAAGATCACCTAAAATTTGCCTGTTGTATGATATGGTAAAAACATTGCCCTTCCCTTTTCAACCCCATACATTTATTTTATTTATTTGAAAGACAGAGTTAGAGAGAAAAGTAGAGACACAGGTTTTCCATCTGCTGGTTCACTCTCCAAATGGCCACAATGGCTGGAACTGAGCTGAACCGAAGCCAGGAGCCAGGAGTCTCCTCTGGGTCTCCCACGTAGGTGCAGGGGCCCAATCACTTGGGCCATCTTCTACTGCTTTCCCTGGCATATTAGCAGAGAGCTGAATCCGAAAAGGAATAGCTGGGACATGAACTGGCACCCATATTGGATACTGGCGCTGCAAGGCTTGGGCTTTAACTTGCTGAGCTACAGCGCTGGCCTCAACACTTTCTTTTTCTTAAGTGGCAATATAGCATTTTGAAAGGGAGGAGATGATTAAGTCATACAGGTATAGGTTTTTCACTTGCTTCATGTATAACACTGGGAAAGAGTTTAATTTCTTAGGTGCAGAGGCAGAATGGCTTCATCTGTTATGTGATGAACACGTGCCAAAAGTAGCCACTCATACTGAGTATCCATTCTGCTCACAACAATCCCACATTCCTTATCATTAAAGTCTTTTTTGTCATTTTTGTAGAAATAGGATATTGCTACATAACTTGTAATCACAACACATATCAAAGGTGTAATGAATTTGTAATATTAATTCAGCAGGAAAACAACTAAATATTTATTTGAAGGCTACATTATGTAGTTAGTTCTAGTTAATAAAAGTTCATTTATTTCAGTGAGAATTAGAACTGAAAAGACAAATAGTGATTAATGGGTGCCTGGTTATAGCTATATAGGAATAAGACATTCTGGCAGCCGGCGGGGGGTGGCGCCATGGCTCACTTGGTTAATCCTCCACCAGTGGCGCTGGAATCCCATATGGGTGGCGTGTTCTAGTCCCGGTTGCTCCTCCTTCTGGTTCAGCTCTCTGCAGTGGCCCAGGGAAGGTAGTGGAGGATGGCCCAGGTGCGTGGGCCCCTGCACCGCATGGAAGAAGTACCCGGCTCCTGGCTTCAGATCCGCACATCGCCAGCTGTAGTGGCCATTTGGGGATTGAACCAATGGATGAAAGACCTTTCTGTCTCTCTCTCTCTCTGTTTATAACTCTACCTGTCAAAAAAAAAAAAAAAAAGACATTCTGGAGTTCCACTGGACAGTAGGGGTAGTATAGATAATGTTAATATAATGTATATTTGTCTTTTTAAAAAGCCTAGAAGGTAGGATTTATGGATGTTTTCACTGGTTAAATGCTTGAAAGGATAAATATATTTACCATGATTGGACATTATGTAATTTATACATGTACTAAAACATCACATAGTATCCCATTAATATGTACAATGTGTGCATATATATATTTTATTTTTCTTGAAAAGCTTTAAGAAGACAAATGAGAAAAACAAAACCCTGAAGTGTGATTCATTTTTATTAGTAATATGTATACCTGAAGGCATTAAGGGTCTCAGGATACCTCTTAAAAGTATGTAATTTATTGGGTTATACAGACTATTTACTAGTTTTATGTGTATTAGAAAAGAAGTGTGCAGGTACTTCAGAAAGTTTAAGGAAAAGTGGAAATAGAAGCTATGTTTATTTTAGTGCAAAAAATTTTGAAATCCATGCGTGGTTTTTTCATAATACACACTTTTCGTGAACTTTCTAAAGGTCTCGTGCGTGCACTGGGACTCCAGAGAGATCCTGGCAGTGTAGCAGGGGCTGTTTTGGCCTGAGGAAGGCTGAAGCTTGAAAGTTCACTGACTTTTAGGGAGCCTCTAGCCTTTTTGTTTGCTCAGAATTTGGTCAGGGCTTATAAAGGTCTGATTCGTTTGAAACGCTTTCTATCAAATTAGAAAGTAACCTTTAGCAAAATGTGTGTCCTCCACTTTGCAGATCGGTAAACACAAATGTACCACATGTGTAGGAACCACTCTACAAAGAATGTTTCCCAGGTTTTACAACTTGGGACTGTGAAAAGGAGCCGCAGCATTTGCAGCAGGGCAGCCTTCGGAATACCGAGTTCTTGCCAGCTAGAGGTGTACAGAGCTTTGCCTTAAAACCTCTGAAGTTTTACTTTCTAAAGCTCTTCCTCCTGCATTCTTACTTCCTAACAACCCAAGCAGTAGGAGGGCAGCTGCAGGGCATCCCAAGGTCGGATCCACCTGGGGAGATGCTAAGATAAAAATACTGAGAAAGCAGGGATCTGCCGCCCTTTTCCTACATCAAAGGAGAGCACCCAGCTCCCCTTCTGGGGTAGTGCGAGCGCTATCACGTGACACAGTCTCGGCCAATAAGAAGACCCGGCCTGGGCGTCTTCCAGGAAGTGAGTCCCTGGAGCTGAGGTGGAGTCCAGAGGTCATTCCACGGGGAGGCAGTGCCTTTTGGTGGTGGGGCCCACGGCAGCTTTTGGGGTCCATGGCCAGTAAAAAAAAAAAAAAAGAAAAGAAAGGAAACATGGACGTGCTCACCGGACCGGGTTTCTGCCTGTTTTTCTCAAGGTGCTTCCGTCTTTCCCCTCAGCTCACCGACTTGTATCTTTTCAGCACATCTCTGTCGTGTTTAAGAAGAGTAGGCCTCCGTCCTTTGCCACGGAGAACACAGGTGGTTTTCACAATGAATGCTGTTCCGCATTTGTGAACGCGGAGACTGAGGCTGCCTTGAGTCCGCGTGACGTACGTGAATTACCAGGGATGTAGAACAGCCAAGTCCAGACCCCATGTGCTCCAGTGAGGGTTGCTTCTTTCCCAGCACCCTGTGCAGTACTTTCACTGAGCTCTGCCTACTTGACTGCCGGGTTTACTGCGGTTTCCGGTGACGATGCTCATCTGCTTCCTGACAGCTTTGGTCTCACACTAGGCTGTTGAGCACCTTGGAAAACAGAGATTCTGTTATATTCATCATTTTTCCTCAATCACGAGTGCCTAGGTGCACAGTACTAATGAAGATTTTAATGCATGAGTGAATAAACAGTGCAATGATAACTCTATTACCTGGAAGAACCACTATAGATTTAATGTTGGTGCTAAAAAGTCCAAGATTGATTTTAAAAAACACTACCCATGCTCTTTAGCAATTAAAAGTTTAGAAATTTTAAGTGAAGTGCTTTGTTCATTTTGTAAGCATCTATTCCATGCTTACGTGCCAGGTTCTTATTACAGAGATAGCTAAGACTTAATCTCATTTTTAAAGAAGTCTCAGATGATGCAGGAAACAGATGATTCCATAGCTCAGATAATGGAGCTGTGGGAAGAAACCGCTGTGCTAAAGTGAAGAGTGATTGGAGCAGCAGCCCCACTGTCAGCAGCCCTGGGAACCACTAAACAGGCGTGGAGACACCACTCTGGGCTGGAGGCTGCACACATCAAGCAGAACAGCATAGCCCCTAAAAGCTGGAGAATTGTGCAAAATTGCTTTGTCTTTCCAGAATTGTGTGAAGTAGCTAAGACAAAGCAACCACAGATACTCTTAATGTTATTTTTTAAAAGGTCATAATCAAATCTTGTTATCAAAAAAAAATGTGAGTAATTCTGAGATTAGCTAGGTACCATTTCAGAATAATACATAAGACTATGTTTTGGATTTGGCACAAGGGTGATAGTGAAGACAAATCTGTATCTTTAAGCATTAAAGCCCAGTATAATAAATCAGATATATGTATATAAAACCATATAGATGTTTATTTGTGTTAATAAGAATGTTAATTTCTATTTCTTACGTAATAAGTACCTGGTAGGAGAAAGATTTAACTCTGAAATGTTTTTCTATCATTTGCAGACAACTACTACGGTACCCCAAAGCCTCCAGCAGAACCAGCACCATTGTTATTAAATGTAACAGACCAGATACTTCCAGGAGCCACTCCAAGTGCTGAAGGCAAACGGAAGAGGAATAAATCAGTGAGCAACATGGAGAAAGCAAGTGTAGAGCCTCCCGAGGAGGAAGAGGAAGAGAGGCCTGTGGTCAATGGAAATGGAGTAGTGGTAACACCAGGTTAGTCATTTATGTTTGCTCTAGAATCATCGGTGGACTTATTTTTTTTAAGATTTATTTATGTATTTATTTAAAAGGCAGAGGGACAGAGAGAGGGAGATACAGAGAGAAAGAAGTCTTCCATCCACTGGTTCAATTCTTCCAATGGCACAACGGCTGGGGCTAGGCCAGGCCGAAGCCAGGAGTCTAGTAGAGAGAGGTGGGTGATGGGGTCCAACGCACTGGGGTCTTCTCCTGCAGGGAGCTGCATCAGAAGCACGGCAGCTGGGACTTGGACAGCTGCTCTGATAGGGGATACTGGCACTGCAGGAAGCAGCTTCACTGGCCGCACTGCAATGCCAGCCCCAGGTGACTGTTTTGATGTGCGTGTGCGTGTGTGTGTATATCTATTTGTTCAGATAAATATGTATATATGATTATAATGATCTTCAAAGAGAGATGATTATTATGTCAAATGGAAAGGCCATGATTTGTGTATCTAACTTGTTCTCATTTTGGCGTATTTATTCAATTTTCTTAAGTTTAGGTTTACTTACACACTATTAATGGCACATAGTAAATGGCTTAAACTTCTTAGAAGGAGTTACAGATTATAAATATCATTATGTAAAGCTTGCGGGTCTCTTTTCAGTAATGTTTGAGACAATATAATCTTAGAAATCTGGCTGTGCTTACAGTTGTTTACACAGAGATTACGCCATGTGATTTAGTTGGTAGTATCAATGAATGCAGTTCTCAAAATGTCAGCAGCTACTGAACACCTGTGTATTTGACTCTCATTTATTCCTGTCTAATCTGGCAACATGGAGAAAGAATGCAAACTTTATATGTTAACAGTTTGATGGCACTGATCCTTGAATGAGGAAAAGAATAGTTATTCCCTTATGATCTGTCAAACCACATAGACAAAAATAAAGTATATTTGTGCAAGGTATTGATATTTTTTTATACTTAATACTAACAGAGCAGCAATAGTAGGTTTTTAAAAAAAATTTTTTTTTTTTTGACAGGCAGAGTGGACAGTGAGAGGGAGAGAGACAGAGAAGGGTCTTCCTTTGCCGTTGGTTCACCCTCCAATGGCCGCCGCGGCCAGCGCACTGCTGCTGGCACATTGCGCTGATCCAAAGCCAGGAGCCAGGTGCTTCTCCTGGTCTCCCATGGTGTGCTGGGCCCAAGCACCTGGGCCATCCTCCACTGCACTCCTGGGCCATAGCAGAGAGCTGTCCTGGAAGAGGGACAACCGGGACAGAATCTGGCGCCCCCACCGGGACTAGAACCCGGTATGCCGGCGCCACAGGCGGAGGATTAGCATATTGAGCTGTGGCGCCTGCCAATAGTAGGTTTTTATAATATTCATAATCAAATGTTTCCAATAGGAAAGCTGTGACATTCTTGCACTAGGTTAATACAATTCTGTTTTACTAACTTAATTTTTATTAGTGGCATATTAGTGAGTATTGAACAGCTAAAGGCTGTGTTGCAACTCTTGGGAAATACTACTATATGTACTTTGTGTACCTACTATTTTTTTTTAACTTTTATTTAATGACTATAAATTTCCAAAGTACGGCTTATGGATTACAATGGCTTCCCCCCCATAACGTCCCTCCCACCCGCAACCCTCCCCTCTCCCACTCCCTCTCCCCTTCCATTCACATCAAGATTCATTTTCGATTCTCTTAATATACAGAAGATCCACTGGGATCTCACTCACAGAGATATTTCATTTAGGTTTTTGTGTGTGTGTGTGTGTGTGTGTGTGTGTACCTACTATTCTTAAGATATTTCCTACTACTACTCTTTTAGTGTTTGTATTTTTATTTTTCACTGCACTGATTCTATACTGACATAGTATATGAATTTGAATTCTATGCCCAATTCAAGGCGTAAAAGAAAACTTCCTAAGACTTTTAATCAAAGAAATGCTTTATAAGCTTACATTATATCTTTTTTAAAATATTTATTTATTTATTTATTTGAAAGGCAGGGTTACAGAAAGGCAAGCAGAGGCAGAGAGAGAGAGAGAGAGATCTTCCGTCTGCTGGTTCACTCCCCAGATGTGGCCAGAGCTGGGCTGACCTGAAGCCAGGAGCCAGGAGCTTCTTCTGGGTCTCCCACGCAGTTGGGCCATCTTCTACTGCTTTCCCAGGCCATAACATAGAGCTGGATTGGAACTGGAGCATCCGGGTCTCAAACCAGCACCCATAGTAGGGGATGCCAGCATTGTAGGCAGCAGCTTTACCTGCTATGCCACAGCGCCGGGCCCACTTTATATCTTCTTTCTTCAAAATACCTGCACAAATGTTCTTCTTCATGGAACATAAGAAAACCAAAATTGAATGTGTACCAATCAGGGGACAAAATATTAAAAGGTACTGTCATCTTGCTTACTCAGATGCGGACCTCTTGCCCCATGAATACCATCGGGTGAAACCATGTCTGTGTCCCAAGGTATCACTGACTTCTAGATATACAGGTTCTAAATGTGATAAGTAAGTAATATGACTTGCCTACCATAAAAATGTGTGTGCAATTAGTTAACCACCTTTTTGCTGATTTGGAAGTATCTGTGTCAAAACTTTTGTTTTCCATTGTATAACTAAAATTAATGTAAATTAGGTTGATGGTAAATAGTTTTCTTAGTTGATTTTTGAGAGAAGCAAAGCAACTTAGCTGAGTTCAAGCTGTAACCACAAAAGGAGCAAAAGTTAGGGGTTAGAGAACAGTTATACAGCTTCCTACTGGGTGGTATCTTGTGGTTAACAGCATAAAATAGATGGCCCTGGCTAAGGTCAGATGTTGATGTTTAATTCGTTTCTCATCTGTGTAGGACAAATAACATGAAGCATTTTGGACCCACAGATTCTTAAGCTATAATTATGTTTAACTGGAGGGGCATAGTATAGCTAGAAAGTACCAATTCTCTCCTATTCATACATTAGACCTGAGGGTGAGATGCTTTCTGGTTAGGTGTACTTTCTGGTTTGTGTGCCCCAAAGACAATGGACTCGTTTGAGGTCTTGCTCACCTGCCCTCCTCATCTGACTGTCCTGGACACCTCAGCAGAGAACAACTCTAGGTTTTTTGGGAGTCAACAGATGCTTCAATCAGTAGCTCTTGCTGGGCAAGTGGTGTTCTACCGCCTTTTTCTTTTCTGTTGTGGGAGGTGAGAGACAAATTAGACAGCTCTTCACCTAGTGTTCCAAGATGAACTGAACAACATCCAACAGGAAATTGGTCCATCATTTTTTTACTAGAAATCTCTTGACAGCTCTCATCTTTGAAAAGTTTTTTTTTTTCTTCCTTTATTTATCCAATAGAGAGTTTGGATAATTTTTTGGCCTCCACTTATATATGTTTTCTTTACTTTTTGCCTTTTGAACTTCATCACTTTTTATTTTTATTAGAGAATCTTTTTTTTTTTTTTTTTGACAGGCAGAGTGGACAGTGAGAGAGAGAGACAGAGAGAAAGGTCTTCCTTTGCCGTTGGTTCACCCTTCAATGGCCGCCGCGGCCAGCGCGCTGCGGCCGGCACACCGCGCTGATCCGATGGCGGGAGCCAGGAGCCAGGTGCGTTTCCTGGTCTCCCATGGGGTGCAGGGCCCAAGCACCTGGGCCATCCTCCACTGCACTCCCTGGCCACAGCAGAGAGCTGGCCTGGAAGAGGGGCAACCGGGACAGAATCCGGCGCCCCAACCGGGACTAGAACCCGGTGTGCCGGCGCTGCTAGGCGGAGGATTAGCCTAGTGAGCCGCGGCACCGGCCTAGAGAATCTTTTACAAAATTTATTTATTTGCAAAAGAGAGCAAGAAAGACAGAGAGCTTTCATCTACTGGTTCACTCCCCAAATTCCTATAACGGTTGGGACTGGGCTGAGCTTAAGCTGGGAACCAGGGAGCCAGAACCTGGAAACTCAGACCAAGTTTGCCCTGTGAGTGACAGGAACCCAACTACTTGAGCCATCACTGCTGCCTTCTAGAATCTGCAACATGGGAAATAGGAATCAGTGGCCAGAGTCAGATATCAAACCCAGTTACTCTGATCCAAGATGCTGATTTCTTAATCACTCAGTTGAACACCTGCCCCCTCCTGTATAAAATCTTTGTCCTGCTTTTTATTTTCCTCCTATACATATTCACAAGATACAGATTTCAAAGACTAGGGGGATGGGCCAGCGCCACGGCTCACTAGGCTAATCCTCCGCCTGCGGCACCGGTACCCGGGGTTCTAGTCCCGGTTGGGGTACTGGATTCTGTCCCGGTTGCTCCTCTTCCAGTCCAGCTCTCTGCTGTGGCCCGGGAAGGCAGTGGAGGATGGCCCAGGTCCTTGGGCCCTGCACCTGCATAGGAGACCAGGAGAAGGCACCTGGCTCCTGGCTTTGGATCAGTGCAGCATGCCAGCCGCAACATGCTGGCCATAGCGGCCACTTGGGGGGTGAACCAACGGAAAAAGGAAGACCTTTCTCTCTCTCTCTCTCTCTCTCTCTCTCTCTCTCTCTCTCTCTCGCTAACTCTGCCTGTCAAACAAAAAAGACTCGGGGGAAATTGTTGCTTAAATTTAGCTAACATTGTCCTGTATTGACTAGCAATCAACAATAACAATTAATTTCATGTCAATTCAGAACATAATTTTTTCCAATTTTTCTCATATCTATAAATTTTTTTTGTATTCTGTATGTTAGCTATTACAAATTAACTACCACAAAACACTATATCTGTACTTTTGGGTCTAACTTATTTCAGTAAGGATGATGGTCTCCAGCTACATCCATTTTGTTGTTTTTTAAAAAAGGATTTCATTCTTTTTATGACTGAGTAGTATTCTGTCATGTATATAGAGACCACATTTTCATTAACCACTCATCAGTTGGTGGACATATAGGTTGATTACATACCTCAGCTATTGCTAATTGAGCTGCTATAAACGTGGGGTACACATAAATATTGAAATAATGAAGCATATTTGGAGAATAAGGAAAGTTTATTTTTTAAACATATAAT